CCCACACACCATACAACACACACACACCCCACACACACCCCACACACACCCCACACCCCACACACACCATACAACACACACACACCCCACACACACCCCACACACCATACAACACACACACACCCCACACACACCCCACACACACCATACAACACAACACACACCATACAACACACACACCCCACACACCCCACACACACCATACAACACACACACACCCCACACACCCCACACCACACACACCATACAACACACACCCCACACACACCATACAACACACACCCCACACACACCCCACACCCCACACACACTATACAACACACACACACCCCACACACACCATACAACACACACACACCCCACACACCCCACACCCCACACACACCATACAACACACACACACCCCACACACACCCCACACACACCACACACGTCATACACACACACAGCACACACACACAACACGCACACACATAACACATACACACCCCCTGGCTCTCAAATGTTCAGGGAGCAAAATCAGAATCGGTCGTCTCCAACCCTGCTGTTTGAAAACGCCTCTCTAAAAGGGAACTGGAGGGAGCGTTCACTTCTTTCATGTCCTGAGCCTTACACACTGTATCGCTAACGAATACATGCAAAATAACAGGAGACAAAAAACAGAACAAAACACCAGTAGGTATGTTCCAGGACTCGGAATGTTTCTCTGCGTGTTATTTGTAGAAATTCACAAAATACTCGCTCCGTAAATGCTCCAGGTAAACCCTTGTAAAGTTTAGATTTCATCTCACTGATGTGGCATCGTTTCTGCCCACACACACTAAGTACGGACTTCAGCGTCGGCCAGTTGCGGCCTTTGTCAAATCTCGCTGCTGAAATGCCGGCACTCTGCCGCCCCCTTCTGTTTGCAAAACAATTCACACTCAGCCAACCAGCTGCTGTGGTTGACTCTGATTCCTGGCGACCCCGTGTGTGTCAGAGTAGAACACAGTAGACCTGCACAGTAAGGTTTTCTTGGCTGTGAAATTTGCAGAAGTAGATCACCAGGCCTTTCTTCCGCTGTGCCACTGGGTGAGTTCAGACAGCCAACCTCTCGGTTACCAGCCGAGCGCAAAACGTTCGCACCACCCAGGGACCTCGTGTATATTTTACCACAATGAAATGAAAAAAAAACAAAAATAGTTAAGTATATGTAATATTTGGACACTTGAGTAATGGCTATTAAAACTAATATTTATGACTGTGGTACCATCTATCAATTCATTATTTAATTAACCATGCTTAAAGTCCACTTCTATGAGACGGGTGCCAACCGTATCAGTCCCGAGTGTTTTCTGAGCACGAACTGTCAGATGAGGCTTCTGATGAATGTGACAGCATCTATAAGGGGATGAAGAGGCATGGAGCTGCTCGTGGGCAATTTCATCCCCTCCGGCACATAAGGTCACCAACCAACCAAATTCTGGACAAAAGTCACCAAATGCTGTGTATTTCTTGATGTTTTCATAACAGAAAGGAATTATTATCCTGGACAGATAAATATTTTGTTCACAGCATGACATCATGTGAAATGACTATATTTTAAAACCTCCTCGGATTTTTTAAGCATTTGGCTGCTAACCAAAAGGTTAGCAGTTCAAAACCACCAGCCACTCCTTGGAAACCCTACGGGGCAGTTCTACTCTGTCCTACAGGGTCGCTGTGAGTCTGAATCAACTCGACAACGGTTTTCAGATTTATCCACAGTTCTCAAAATAGAAAAGAAAGAAAAGGAAAAAACCCACACCGAGTACCAGACCCGTGTACATCGACAGTACGTGTCACAGCGAAGCCCACACGTTGCCAGTGGTTCACCTCCTCCATCCAGCCTGCTGGCCCCTCTGCTCAAAAGAGGGGCCCAAGTTCCTATTTCTGGGTAGGGAACATGGAGGGGAGGGAGAGGCTGAGCGGGAGCAAGCAGAAAAGCCCGTGTAAGAATCTGGAGTCCGAGGGTAAGAATCTGGAGTCCAGTATTCCCCACCAACACCCCACTCTCGCTGACTCGGGGTCCAGAATCACCTCCATGGATATTTAAGCCAGTGCAGACTACCACCCCCGGGTGGCGCCAGTACAGCCAGCGCAGGCAGTTGACCCTTCCCAAGGCTCAGTGGCTGCTCCGTCCGATCTGGTGACTTCCGTGAACTGCATGAGAAAGCAATGCCACGTACAATCTGGATTTGCGGACCCCACTTATCATGCCACAGTCCCTGAGTGGAGCAAACGGTTGGCTCTCTGCTACTAACTGAAAGGTTGGCGGTTCAAATCTACTTAGAGGCACCTCAGAAGAAAGGCCTGGTGATCTACTTCTGAAAAATCAGCCACTGAAAACCCTATGGAGCCCAGTCCTGCTGTGACACACTTGGGGTCACCAGCAGTCGGGACCGACTCAAAGACAATGGGTTTGGTTTCTTGGTTGCATGTTCCGGCGGGGTGTTAGTGTACCTCACACTTGGTGGATTTTTTCATGCTCTGCTCCCAGTTCTAAAGAA